TGTAGGCCAGACCAGGTAAGGATGGCAGTTTCCTTCCCTAAAGGACATTAGTGAACCAGAGGGGTTTTTCCAACAATCAACAATGGCTTCACGGTCATCATTAGATTCTTAATTCCCTAATTTTATTGAATTCAAATTTCCCGCTATCTGCCACAGTGGATTAATAGTCTAGCAATAGTACCACTATACCGTCACCTTTCCCAGCTCAGAGGGTAGTTAAGAGTCAACCACATTGCTGTGGGTTTGGAATCACCTGTGGTCTGGCAGATTTCCTTCCCCAAAAGATATTAGTGACCCACATGTATTTTTTTTTTACCTGACAATGGATTCATGGTCATCATTAGACTGTTAATTCAGATTAAAACAACATTCAAATTCCACCATGGCAGGATTTGAATTTTGGTCCCTAGAAAGTTACCAGGGGCTCGGGATTAGCATTCCAGTGATAATACCACTAGGCCATCAGCTCCCTCTTGCACCAGCTGCTCCTGACCTATTACCTCTGTGTGCACTTTGCCACCTGGTCCAGCCAACATTAATTTTAAATTTGGCCAACACTTGTACCCGTACTTAAATCCAGCCATACAGTTCTTGAGATGTGTGTGCTCTTCCTGCATGCTTCATTTGCATGTTTGACTCTGTTTTTCCTCCTTTTTGGAAAAGAGGCCAGGTTTGGAGAGCACCAACATCTTGAAAACTTGTAGGGCCGGTTACAGAGGGATGGGTACGGGAGGGGAGGGGAGTTTGGGACACCGGGGGTGGGTGGAGTGACCGAGTTTGAGGTTTGGTTGCTCCACTGCTGGTGGGACCAAGCTCCTGAACTCCTTCCCGAAACTTCTTCACGTCTCCACGCTCCTTTGAGAACGGTCCCTTTAAACCAACACTGTGTCCACCGCCATGTCCTAATGCCTCCCCCATTGCTCAGTATCAGTTCTTTTTTCCACTTATTTTCCTGTGAAGAAGCGCTTCGGGATGTGATACTGTATTAAAGGCTCCATACAAATACAGTTCGATATTGTTGTAAGAATGTACTCTTATCAAGTGTCTTTCACAACTTTGGGAAATCCTACAATGCATTATGGCTGATGAAGTATTATAGAATCATAGAATTTTATGGTACAGATGGAGGCCATTTACCCATTGTGTCTGTACTTGCTCCTTAAAGAGCAACCCAGCTAGTCCCACTCTCCAGCCCTGTTTCTGTAGCCCTCTAACTTCATCACTTTCAAGTACATATCCAAATATATATTATCAAAACAGTATATAATGAAAATGTTGTACTCATTTGGGCACAGCAAGCTCCCACAAATAGCAATGTCATAACAAGCAGATATTCCAAGTTTTTTCCAGCGGTATTGATTGAGGGATGGATATTGTCCCGAAAAATCCCACAGATTTTTTCAGACAGTTCCACAGGATTTTCTGCACTTAACTGGGAAAGTGTACAGTTCTGGAGATCAGTGCTTCAACTAAACTTCACCAGACTGGGGGTGGTTGTACCTATCTACAACAGGAGAATAAATCCTGGCCAAGTAGAACCATCGAAGACACTGCATTCAGCCAAAATTTCCCAGATGCTGCTCTCCATCTATTTTCTCTACACCTGAGACGATGATGACTGATAGTGGCTACACCTCAAAACTCTTTGGTTGGAAAACACTTTGTGATGTTCCCAGTTCAGGAATCTTCTCAACCAAAGCTCTTTTATTTTTCGTTTCCATGAAAGTTTCATCAAAAACAGAAGTTGTTGGAAAAGCTCAGGAGGTCTGGCAGCATCTGTGAAGAGAAAATCAGAGTTAACGTTTCGGGTCCAGTGACCCTTCCCTCAGAACCTGAAACGTTAACTCTGATTTTTTCTTCACAGATGCTGCCAGACCTCCTGAGCTTTTCCAGCAACTTTTGTTTTTGTTCCTGATTTACAGCATCTGCAGTTCTTTCGGTTTTTAATCTTTCTTCACAGCCTTATACAACAGGATGACAGTGATTGTGAGGAGGGGAGTAGGGTTATGGGATGAGAATGGGGATGGAGGGAATGAAGGAGATGAAGAAGACAGTGGATCATGTCTGGGAGGCAGGGCTACGAAGACATGAGGATATTGGTATCAGATTTGAGGGGAAGCTGGATGAGTATTGGAAAGGATCGTGCCTGGGGGGTGTGAGAGGTACAGAGGGTGAAAATAGATGAGCAGTAACATTGGGATCCCCTGAGTACTCTGAGATTTAGAGGTTTTAATGTCACCAACCATAATCTGATCCCAAGTGGCCTGTTTCCAATGTGACAGAGATTGGTTATGCTTTCTTAAACACTGAAATCATTGATGGACCAATCCAGAATGTTTTGTCTCTCTCTCTGCCTCTCTCTCTTGCACGCACGCACACACACACATGCATACATACACACATACGCACGCTCACACACACGCATACGCTCACATACATGCTCACACACACACATACACACACACATGCGCTCACACACGCACATACATACATACACACTCACACACATACATGCTCACACACACACACATGCACACACACACACGCGCACACACATACATACATACACACACAGCTTGAGAAAATGTGCTTCCTCATATACGGTCTAACACATCCCTATAAAAACAAACTACTGCTGATGCTGGAAATCTAAAACAAACAGAAAATTATAGAGACTCAGCAACTCAGTGTTCTGGAGAAGTGGCATTTTGGACTTGAAACATTAACTAGATTTCTTCCTACACAGAGGCTGCCCAGCCTGCTAAGTTTCTCCACCATTCTCTGCACTTATTTGGCCTCATGCACACTCACACTCCTGCTAGGTGTCACTAGGATCAGTTCAGGTAATCAGTCACACATATACACATACACAGCCATTCACACATTGACAGCTATGCACAGGTAGACAACATGACCATTCCCCTTCCCCCTCCCCATTTCTGAAGAAGGGTCCCGACCCGAAACGTCAGCTTTCCTGCTCCTCTGATGCTGCCTGGCCTGCTGTGTTCATCCAGCTCCACACCTTGTTATCTCTGACTCCAGCATCTGCAGTTCTTACTATCTGATCATTCACATATATGCAACGTTTCACACATGCAGAATCGCAGAGGTGTTATGGTGCAGGTAGAGACCATTTGGCCCATCATGCTTGCACCAGCTTCTTGAATGAGCTTCATCACCTAGTGCCAATCTCCTGCTTTACCCCATACTGTTGCATGTCATTATTTTTTTCCAAATAATCACCCAATACCCTCTTGAATGCCTCAAGTGAACGTGCCTCCACCACATTTCCAGACAGTGCATTCCATCCCCTAACAACTTGCTGAATGAATACATTTTTCCTCACTTCACCCTTGCTTCATTTGCAGACCACTTTACATCTATACCCTCTTGTTCTTGTTCCCTTCAAGAGTGGGAACCGTTTCTGCCTATCTACTCGATCCAGCCCACTCATGATTGTGAGAACCCCCATGTAGCCCAGAGAGCTTCTCTGAGCCTTCTCCCTCCAGGGTGAACGGTCCCAACGTTCCCAATCTATCCCCGTAACACGAGTTCCTCGATCCTGGAACATTGATGGCCGAAGGGCCTGTACTGCGCTGTAATGTTCTATGGAACCATTCTCGTAAATTGCTACTGCCTTCTCTCAAACATCCTTCCTAAACTGTGGTGCCCACAACTGTGCACAATACTCCAGTTGAGGTCGAACAAATGTCTTAAACAAATTCAACATCACCTCTCACAGAAGTTGCTGGAAAAGCTCAGCAGTTCTGGCAGCATCTGTGAAGAAAAAAATCAGAGTTAACGTTTCAGCTCCGGTGATCCTTCCTCAGAACAGTTTTGAGGAAGAATCACCGCACCCGAAACGTTAACTCTGATTTTTCTCTTCACAGGTGCTGCCAGAACTGCTGAGTTTTTCCAGCAACTTCTGTTTTCGTTCCTGATTTACAGCATCTGCAGTTCTTTTGGTTTTTGTTTTTTTTTAACATCACCTCCTTCCTCTTGCACACTTTGCACATATACACAGAGGTTTTGGATGCATTCCTGGGTGCCACGCTTCAGGAAGGGTGTGAGGCATTTGAGAAAGTAAGAACATAAGACCTAGGAACAGGAGTAGGCCATTCAGCCCCTCGAACCTGCTCCTCCATTTAATACAATCATGGCTAATCACCACTTGTTCCTTAGTCCATTTCCCAGCCTGCTCCCCATCACCCTTCAATCCATTACTAATTAAAAAGCTGTCTCTCACATAAATTTACTCAATGTCCTCACCTCTCCCACATTCTGGGGCAATGGATTACACAGGTTGATGACCCTTTGAGACAAGTACTTAGGAGTAGGTGAGGTGATGGCCTAGTGGTATTATCACTGGGCTGTTAATCCAAAAGCCTGCATACTATACTGAGGACTGTGTTCAAATACTGCTATGATGGATGGTGTAATTTGAGTTCAATTTTTAAAACAAAAAGGTCTGGAATTAGGAGTCTTCCGATGAACACAAATCCATTGTCAATTGCTGTAAAAACCCATCTGGTTCACTCATGTCCTTGAGGGAAGAGAACAGCCGTCCTTGCCTGGTCGGGCCTACACATGACTCCAGCCTAGACCCTTCATCAGAAAAATAGTTAGGGAGTTGTTTTTGACTAGCGCAGGCCTGATGGGCTGTAAACAAGAAATGCTGGCGATCACAGCAGGCCAGACAGCATCCTGGAAGAAAGCGCGAGCTAACATTTCGAGTCTAGATGACTGTTCATCAGAGCTGATGGGCTGGAGGGTCTTTGCCCGTGCTGTAGCCCTCTCTGACTCGACTGAAGACCAGAGGAGGAGCAGGCTCCGGCTCGGTTCCTGCGGGTGATCCGTGGCACCTTTTGCATCTCTCCCTGCAGGAATGCGGTGAGGTCTTCAGGAGTTGGGATTGCTCCTCCCCTAAGTGAGAGCCAGCCCTGTACTCTATTCCCACCCCCCCCCCTTTATAAACACAGAGGCTCATTCAGCAGGCAGGGCTGAGAACCGGGGACCAAGGCAGTGCACACAGCTGCTGGGAGACACAGACAGAGACACAGACATAGACACAGACAGAGACACAGATAGGATCACTGCACAAAGACATTCCCCAATCTCCTGCCTATGAACTGAGAAGAGGGCGACTGGAACATTGAAAAGGACCAGCATGGATTTGTTGAACTCCAACTACCTGAACGCTGGGGGCAATTATGATTATACCTTTAACTTCTGGACAGATTACCTGGGCTTGTCTACGCTGGTGATGAAGAACCGCAGGAATGCGCCCCGGCCCTCCAACTCCATCACGGAATCTCTGAAGGCTACCCTGGGACTGAACGACACCAGCTGCCCTTGCCTTGGCCATGGGGATGGACCTCTGGACTGTTGTTTCTGCTGTTCCCCCAACACCTCCAGGAACTTCGTGGACCTGGAGGAGAGCTTCTCCCTGTTTGACCCCTTCCGGGCCCTTCCACCCAGTGGCCTTCACCAGGAGCCTGACATGTTCCTTGACCCCCTTGGCCCCCTGGACCTCCTGGGGCTGGAGAGGAGGGCATTCAGGAGAAGCAGCGGCCGAGCGAAGCAAGAGCCCAAGATCTGTGTCTTCTGCCGTAACAATGGAGCCCCCGATGATGTTTATTCCTCTCATGTCTTAAAGACCCTGGACGGGAGGGTCACTTGCCCCATCTTGAGAGCCTACACTTGCCCCCTTTGCAATGCCAATGGGGACAACGCTCACACCATCAAATACTGCCCACTCTCCAAAGACCAGCCGCCCCAGAGGATTCTGAAGGGGGGTAGGGCTGTGGGTGGGGGCAAGAGGCTCAAGATCTTCTAGACTCGAAATCTTCGGAGAAAGAGAGAGAGAGAGAAAAACAAATCCTTTTTGGACCTAATACTTCTGACCCTCCCCCCTTCCAACATCCCACTTCCCTCCCTTTTTCCCCAAAACTCAACCTGTTTCAGGAAAAGAAAAATCTGGTCTTGAAAAACAGTTTTTTAGGATCCCATCATTTTATGGATCAAGAATCTAATTTTGGGGAAAACCGCGATATCTTCGCCTGTCAGAATGTGGTATGTTTTGGCAAAGACAGAATGAGAGAAGAAACTGTAATTTCTCCCTGGTAACTGTTTACTTGTTGATTTAAGGTGGTGTGGCATCTCTTGTGATGAAAAATTGAGAATTATATTAATGTCCAGAAACATTTTGGTGTTCCGTTGATGTCCATCATTTTATTTAACCCTTTTCCCCTGCATCCTGTCCCATTTAAAATGTGACTGACGAATTTGCAAACAAATTCCACCTACCCACCACCAACATCCCCCCCCACCCCACCCACCCCACTCTGAGAACTGCTTGGTATTTTCTGCAGAGAGTCAGTGTTGCTAGGTTGGTGAAGAGCTTTTTTTTTCTGGAATGTAATTTTGGGCACTAGCCAAAATTATAAAAAAAGACCAACAAAAATACGATTTCTATTCTTGGGCTGAAGTGAAAGGTTGGAGCATTTTCAAAAAATGTAAGTGCATTTATTTTTTAGGCGCGCTTTCTGAATTTAATATCAGTTGTGTTTTAACATAGGATTCAATTTCTAGCTTTCTGCCAGCTGTTGAAATCTCTAACATGTAACTAACTTTCACTGTAAAGTCACACCCCGATAATATAATCTTGGAACTCAACGATGGCTTAGAATTAGAGTCTATTTTGCTGTAGCTCCAATCAATATCCTTGTTCCTGAACACACGGTTAGGGTGGTACACAGAAACAGATTTAACTTGATCATGCGAGAGATAGGACTTGGGTTGCGGTCTGTTCAGGAGTATGTAGTGGGGATTGGAGAAAGAACCTTTAGCGAACCTCAAGACCTGAATTTGTCTTAAAGCAAGATCGCTGATTTGTTTTCGTTTCTTCTTTCTCAGACACAAACAAGCACGATTTGAAAAGAAAAAGTTGGATAAATAGTCAAATTTCTCTTTGTCGCGTACTGTCTGAACTCTTAATCCAAATATATTAAAAAGAATTGCAGTTTCTTTCTTATAGTGAATGTAACATTTTAACAGTCGGAAATTGTTCTGAAGAGATGATTCTAGCAGGACTGCACAGTGAAATTGAGTCTTTCCTTTTATTTACCAAAGCAGTTTTACAAGTTGTAAGAGAATTATATGTAAATAAGAACTTTAATGTAATGTATATTCAGTATTTTGATCATATACTGATTTGAAGAGGGCTCTACCTCAAAAGATTAATGCTTGAGAGATGCATTAAATTTCTATCAAAAAGTAATTAATTATCAGATTCAATAAATAACCAGTTTATAAATGACACACTGCCATTTCTAAAAGGTTTTGTAATAATATTTTTTTTGAATTTTATATAAGAAATCTGTATTTTTCACAGTAAGGTTGCAGTAGAAATTAAAAATGAATGCTGGCTTTTAAGCAATTCATTCGTACATAAAGAAGTTTCTGTAAATATAATTCACAATTCTTCCCTTTCTTTTGCGAATTTGTGTTGTAAATTGTTCAGAGATTGGCCTTTCTTTGCGTAGAGTTTTTTTTAAAAAAAAATTTAATTAAGGTACTGGTTTAATTCTTATTTATACAATGGTGTTACTGTTTCTGTATGCTGCAGCACAGAAAGAATGATATTGTTTACTGAAGGTAATAAAATGGCATACTGAAGAATCTCTGGGAAGGCTTTTTTAAATCCTTTTGCACTCGATGCTTGGGGATGTGAGTGCATGGCTCCCCCTGGGGTCTGAATTGAGATGCGCACCCTGCACAACCGAGGTCAGACCCGAAGATCTGATGTATGGTAAGGGGGAAAGAGTTGCATTTATGTAGCACCCTTTCACAGCCACAAGACCACCCCTCTAAGTGCTTTTACAGCCAGTGACGTTCTTTGGAAGGCATGCGCGAGTTGATGGGATGGGGAGGAATGTGTAAACCCTGGGGCTGGGAGAGGTCACGCAGAGCCATATAGGGATGGAATGAGTGTGTTCTGGGATGGAATTTGCACAACAAGCATGAGAATTTTAAATAAAACAGAGAACTGCGGAGCTCTGAAAGAGGAACGGAAATTGCTGGAGGAACTCAGCTGGTCTGGCTGCATCTGTGCAGAGAAACGTTAGAGTTAATGTTTCGTTGGATTTTAACATTAAGGCATTGCTGAACAGCTTTGAAGTAGAGAGGGGAAAGGGGTGCGGATATATTTGCAGGTGCGGGGAATGAATTTTAGATTATTCACACAGCTACCAACTTCTCAGCTGG